TTGGGCGGATGGATTCCAAGTACCGCATATCGCGGAAAATAATCGAATTGGGTTGCAGAGAAGGTCAGATGGAATTTAAGGTCACGGGTGAGAGGGTCAAGAAAATGTGAACCAATGGAGCAATCGCACTGTGCCTACCTGATCGAAAAAACGCCTACAACACACAGTCAATCTCCTGCTATGTCGCAACCCTCGAGAATTCGAAATTGTGGGGGTAAATTCCAGGAACTGCAACAACAACAACAACAACAACAACAACAACAACAACAACAACAACAACAGGATAATCAATAGTAGATGCTATTAAGTAGTATCAAAATCGGTTGACAGTTTTTGTGACAAAATAAATCGGATCAATAGAAGTAGGTTAATCCCGTTAGTTGTTCCCAACTATAAACTGTTTACTTATAACGGAATTGAGATCTACCCTCTAGTATGTATCGATGAAGTGAAAACCTTTAGTGACGCTTCAGCTTAATATCGTCACGTTGCATTCGGTGTTCAACCGTTTCTCAGTTATAAGTGTTTGGTTATTCAGAGACTATCTACCGTTCTTCAAGGGAACTTTATCTGGCCCAATTATCCCGTATTAATTCCAAATATTCTTCCATTCCGTTACAGTGTTAGGCTAACCACGGATTACATGACGTCCATCACAACATACAATTGTAATAATCACATCAGTAATAACCCATTTAAGTAAAACAGAGGTGAACCAGCTCGAATACAGTGAGAAGGAAATAACAGAACAGAACATTGATTTATTTCCCATATTCAAACTGATTGTTCTCTGTGCAATCTATTCGTGAAATTTTTCTAGTGAAAAATGTGTATCATTATCGTCTGTAGACATCTGTTCGTTCGTTTGCTTTTACTGTTACCAGTGTGTGTTCAAACCGATTGGTGCATTCGTCATGACCGTTGTTGGTCGGACTAATTTCAGCACGTGATGTCACAACGTGATCCATAAACTATACCGTTTTCAATTTAAGATGTACGTATGTTAATCTAAGATGTCATGTTGCTATGCGGATAGTCTGATGGTCCGATTACTCCATCGTTTCACATTGTCTTGTACATTCTGTGATGATCTTGTGTTCATGTTCATGTCCATCCGTGTGGTGAAAGCACACCTGCTGAACAACCGAAGTTCACTGGGTCTGATAAAGACCGATCGATAAAAGAACTCGATCGGTCGTACAATTTTCGGACCGGCATATAAGGGGTATGAAAACCTTCAAGCGATGATGACACCGGGCCAACGTTTGACTCGTACAATATATACACGCACTAGTTTTTAAGCGGGTTCTCTCACAAACTTTTCGGCAGGCATAAGACAGGAGTTTACTTGGAAGAAATTCACTCCTGTTCAACCAACCAAAGGCCATAGACCCCAGCTTAAAGGAGTTACGGCAATTCTCAAGCAATTAACGATTCATAAACTAATAGTGTATCTCATAAACGGTCTTTAGCCCCGGGTTACGATGACCGCACTTATCCTCTGGTGGTTCCATCACCGGCTGAATCAATGTGAATTTGAACCCAGCTTTCATGAAAGCGTTGATCAGTTCGTGCGGGGGCACAAACATCCAAGCTTTAGTGACCAGATGCATGGCCATGAGAATATCCATCTCGGCTTCCATGTTAAGTTGCTCATCTTCGATCAAAGACAAAACATATTCCGGTCAGTGTTTCCGAAACGAACGTTTGAAAGACCAAATCACGCCCTGATCCATTGGTTGTAACATAGAAGAACAATTCGGAGGCAACCGTACCAATTTGCCGTTGGAAAATACTGCGGCTTGGTTATGGCAAGGGGCGTTGTCCACAAAATAGTGAAATAGAGCGCCTTAGAGAAACCATTTTGCGGTTGACATCGGACAGCCAACTGTTAAACAAACGTGGAAGTCATCCATGCGTTCTCTGAAGAATTATAACTGCACGGAAGCCTTTTTTTATGTTCTTTCAGGGAGCGGCTTGTATTACAAAGCTGTTTCGCCTACATCGAAAATATCAAACTCAGCATATCCTTGTATCAACTGCAGTAACCCCGCTCAAACCTCATCCACTGTATCACGCGGTACCGCTAAACGTTCCCTACAGACTTATTAGCAATGCAATCGAGTTGCTGGTTTCTTACATTGTACCATTGAATACCATATCTGTCTGACTAAGAACTAAATCAACCTTTGGAAGCCTTGAAGTCAATATGATGCAATCGTTGAGCTATCTGGATTGCCTTCGTTCGTACGATGCTCTCCAACAATGGGAACTCTCCGTGCATTTCCCTCATAGCAGTAAACCAAGCCAAAGTTGCCTCATTCATTGCCTTGAACTTTTCATTGGTTTTCAGGCGGCATCTTTCCTCAGATGCTCCAGCGTTCAAAACTTCCCCGATAGTCGTTCGATGCGATGTAACATTGTAGACAGTTTTTCGTGAAATTCCAAGTGACTTGGCTACGGAGCTCTGAGTTACATCTGGCTGCTTCAGCATTTCCAACACATTCTGCTTCTCTCTGATCGAAAGGCGTTGGCACATTTTGCCGTCAATAACACTCTCCAATCGCCTGATTCCTTGTCTTCCTAGCAAGGATTATCCGGTCAGTGAACTTTACCATGATCGCGTCTCACTAGATGAAACGCCATTGGTTGAGTGCGACCTTTCAAGGTGGATGGTCAATGGTCGTCCCGACCATCGGTCAACGACCAAGTGAATACGCATCAGGAACTGCGACATATTGAGGGGTGAAATATCACATAGTCAGAAACTGCGTTATTAAGTATACGGTTGGTGTGGGTTTTCGAAAAAGTGGGAAGGTATATCGGAAAATGCGACTTCTCAGGGGTGCGACATAGCAGGAGATTGACTGTATTGCTACCCTCTCGGTTTTTTATGTCACCTAATAATCCCACCAGTTTTGAGGAGGTTGGATACACTTGTAGTGTACGTGCTAAAAACAAGAAGTGATATACATGGTAAAGATGAAACGTTTACTGTCGGAGGATTGAATGATTTACATGTTTCCGGACACGATATGGGGATGAAATAAATCTTATTCTATGCGTATCCTCAAGACAAATGGTTGGTTTTGTTACATGATGCACCTGTTCATTTGCGTTGGATCAGCTGGCAATCCTTGACGGGAAACGAAATGCAATCATCCATAAAAAAAATACAACAGGAGGCTTCCTTTTTCCATTCCAATAGAGGTGAATGGAATATCATCACGACGGGGTGTTTGCTTGTTTTACCGAATAAATCCTTTGCAGTAGTCCGCTTGTACTTGTCTTTCCACAAACACGAACTCCGAAGTGATGATTCTTAGAGAACTTTCCCAAACCGCACGGGCTGGCACGAGTAGTTGAAGCAAGATTTTATGGTATAAAAAACGAGGAGCTTCACTGTGCATAGAACAAAGGTATATAAATCAAAGAACTTGGAAAGACTAGATAGTTGATTTTGTCTAAATCTTGTTCGACCACATCAGATTAGAAAGTTACGCAACTGACTAATATGAACGTGTTGATTAGTGCTGCGAGGATCTATGTGGCATGCGCGGAATAAGCTCGCGCCGAAATCTAGCGTAGACAAAATTGATCAGCTGTCTGTTGGCCACGTGGTTTCTTTCTCACAGTGCAGAGCAGCGGACTTAAAAGAGATGTCCGATGTCATACGTTCTACAGTTATGATCGAAAAGTCCATGCCACTGCGTACATATGAGCATCTCAGGTAGTTATTTCAGAACAAGTCAATCTCGAAAGTCTGGTTATAAATATTCTACGATTACTTTTAACCCTAACAAACTTGGCACTAGGATCAATTTTGGTAGTGTTATCATACCATACGATAGCTCGGAAAGGCTAGGAATTCTTGCTAACCCAAGTATGTATTATATACATATTTTATCTGATATGGTTATACAGATATATATAAATTTACTTTCCTCTCACTAATAAAGACTACTAGTGTTGCCGAAATTGGTTTTTCTCTTTGTAGTTCCCGTTAAAAATCACGTGTGCTTTTCGATCCACACCCAAGCATGCCCCAGTAGCCACGAATAATAAAATCCAATAACTTCCTCACATTAACCTCAACTCCAACAACAAGGATAAATACTATTTTAATTTTCAGACACATATCACACTCTGCTTCATTTTCAGATACATGTGACACATCCGAACTACGTTATTTCTGAAAGCAGACAAGAAACAAAATCCTCGTTGCACAAATTATCTCACTCTGTTTAGGCATGATTTTTATCATAGCAAAGGAAGCGAGAACACAACATCAAGTCGGCAAAACAAAACCACACATGAAAGCAATATGAAATGTGAGTTTCAATTTCATCAGACGGGAATGACAAAGTCACTCTCTCAATTTGGTCAGGTAATGTCCAAAACGTATAATTCAGATTATCATATAAGACTGTAAAACTGAAACCAGCCTGGGTGGTTCCAGTGACTTTCTACACATTGCTTCCAATAGATGCATGCTTTGACCAAATTTAGACGTGACTTTTTCTCAGCCATGTCAGACAGTACGCAATGATTTCGTCCATCTCCAAAATTTCCAATCAAAATCCGTACAGATTTTTGCAAACAGCTTTTCTTTTGATTTGTATAAAATTAGACACCGTGTCCATGCACATGAGCCAGCAGGCGAGAAAACGCACGCAAATGCATTTCTGTCCCCAATCAAATTTGCTACCAATTTTGATTGGTTAATTAAATTGATAGGAATTGTACTAAAATCCGGGACAAGTTCAATTTTACATTCCGTACATTCCAACTCACTGTATTCATCACACTTATTGCCCAAGTAAAATGTCATTTTTCTTCAAACTTCAATATGACTGGCAATATAAACTGAACATATTTCGACTTATTGTGTTCTACATAGGTGCAGCATCCAATCTGCTACTGGGTTTTATTGTGGCATGGAAACCTTTCAACTCGAAATCATTTCAAGCATTAATACTGGGCCAGTTTTTGTTCGATTTTCTCGTCTGTCTTGTGGCCGTCTTCTATTGCCATTTCGAATACACTCTAGTTGCGACAGTGAACAATCGTTCATTCTTGTCTTGCGTGGTTTGGTTAGATAATCTTCTCTTTCTGATCCCGTTAGTGATCAGTGCACTGAATATCATTTTTCTAAGTCTAGATCGTGTGATTGCTGTCTACCTGCCATCGTACTACATCTCGCATATCCCGCTTCGAGTCACCCTGTCATATATTGCCAATGTGGCTATCTGTGTGTCCCTGTGTTTTCCTTCGTGTTTCCTGGTCCAATTGGATTATCCGCTGTGTACAGTTTATTACAGCAAATTCTCATTTGACCTATACCAATTCACCATTATCTATCCCTATATGTGGGTCATAGTGACATTTGTGATCCCAATGCTTGTGTTCACTGGGACATATGCGGCCATTTACATTCGACTTCATCGCCATTCACACGGTCCCAGTATGTCGCTCAATCCCGCGACGAGTACCAAACGTATCGGTCTACGTCTCACAGTGGTCACATTTGCAATGACTTTGGTCACCGTGTTATGCATGGCTCCGGACAACCTGTATTACCTACTGGGTAATGCGTTCGATTTTGGTTATTCCCAGGGCACTCCGGTACAAATGTTCACTGCATTCCTGATGACATTGAACAGTTGTGTGAAGCCATGGATTTTTATCGCGTTCCAGCCCCACATAAGGCGTTATCTCTGTCAATTGACTACGATTCTGTCGAACAAGAAGACGGAATTGTCCACCTCGTCCGCCAGTTGATTCACACCAGATGAGAAACCGTGCGGTAATGTTCTTATTGTTGTTGATTTCCTTGTTGTTGTTGTTGTTGTTGTTGTTGTTGTTTGATCCTGTATGTACACTGTGAACTCCGAGGCGTACGTGCCACCGAGGCAGAATTGTAAAGAAAACAAGAAACGGAACATCCATGCGCATGCATCAATCCCATTCCTCTATCTTGTACACATCAAATTGTTTAAATATATATATATACCTGGTTTGGTAGACAATCAAATCGGAAAGAAATTAATCGCATCTTTTCTGTTCCTCATGGATCAGGTACGGTGTATCAGCACTGTGTTTCTTTGAGGATCAACATATTTCAGTAGATCGTCATCCGAAGATGTATTCGCTAGATTCCAAACATAGAATCTACCAATATTTTTCGATAAGCAACGTATACTCGCTCTTAAAAGAATAGAGATAAACTGTTTTAGAGTATCAAGCTTGGATTAACCCATTTGACTGTTCAGAGGCACCAGGCACTCTTGATGGTCTTGGGTGTGTGGGTTTCACTCCTTGGGAGATTGTTACTGCCCCACTGTTTATATGCATTCAAATGCGATGGAAATATTTGTGATAACCAACAAAGAGCACTGGACAGCTGTTTCGTCCTGTCAATGCGATGGAAATATTTGTGATAACCAACAAAGAGCACTGGACAGCTGTTTCGTCCTGTTTGGGACTCGTCAGCAGTGCGTACTTTTTGTGTCCTTGTCAAGACTCGAACCGCGATCAGTCTGGTCAGGACTTCAAACCCTTACCCCTGAGCTGCACGGTCGACGGTTATAACCTTGTGCGAATGGCTGAATCAATTTTACGGTGTCAAGCTTGGATTGGCCCGTTCGATTGTTCAAAGGCACCAGGCACTCTTGATGGTCCTCGGTGTGTGTTTCACTGTTTTAGTTATGGTGCAACTTGATGAAACAAACAAAATGCGCAAGTACAGATTTTATCCGGTTCTACCTTTTACTGGACATTTCTGGTGCCAGACCAATTAAGTCAGAGTATATTTTACTGCCCTTTTTAATGTAGAATACCCTAATTTAGCACGTGCTATCTACTGTGCTTGGTTACCGAAACATTATTTCAATTGCATAGCATCAATACGGGTAATAGCGAAACAATCTAAGTGAGGTATTATTTGGGCCATTTCCTAAAAATTACTTTATATCTGTACGAAATGGGGCAGAGTTAAACGGTGCCAACACTCTTGAAATTACTTGAATTCCAAAATAATCATTAACTGAAGGAATTATATATATATATCCCTGAGTACTTTTCGAATACATACTGCTCGACTCTGCATACAATAGCTGTTTACCGAACGAAAGAACTGACCTGTTACGGAAACCATTTTTGTCCACACTAAAGACTGATCGTTTTACCACTCAACTCTAAACAATATGATTGGATTCAAATAATCGATCGAAATGGTGCCAGAATTAGCTTAACTTAGCCTAACTATTCGAAGTTCAGTGCCTAATGTGACTAGTCCATTGCCGTGGCTTATTGAGTTTCTGAAGGTAGCGAATTGATGTTCGGTCAGTTTATGAAGCAGATCCCAGTTTCCGTAATTGATTGAACTACACCTGCGCACACGTACACATACACTCAAACACGATCAGACAGTTTGAAATTTCTTGGGAATGTGTGCTTTCTCTCTAGACAGACTGAGTGTTTCTAGTACCGCACGTGTGGATGTATGAGATTCACAGAACTGTAAGTCAGATTTGATTGCAGAAGAAACAATGACAAACTGGATGCGAGTTTGGCGGGGCCACTGAACTCGGCTACGCGGTCCGTGACATCATCGAACTCCGGACTTCATACAGCACTCTTGACTGGATTTTATCCGCCATACGCGACGTTCACTGCCATAGAAACGTTGTGCACTCATGATCATCTTAAATTCTGTGCAATACTGTGTTGCCTTCAAAGTTTTGGTCACTGGAATTTATCTTCTCTTTCGATAACCGAAGATGAAGAATCCACGAAAAGCTCAAAGAACTTCTTAAAAAACCTTGAGCTGGACGGCAGTTCGCAGTACGTAAGCGACTCGTTTCATCACGGGGCAATTTTTCTCTTTAATATCTTTGTATCTTTTTACATTTAGAAAAAGGAAGTCAAACTGAAAAAAGTAATATGGCAAAAGTAAACAATCTGACTAGCAGAAAAGAATACTCACAAGTCGGTTTCGCAATTATTCAAGAAGACTGGCTCCACGATTAAATTGGTTGCAACGTTTCCATCTGTCGAGCTGATCGACTAGTTCCACTTGACAAACCTGTCGAGGATGTTATCAAATACACAAATGACGGTTTTTATAAATTAGGCAAAGAGGTTTTTTTTGTTACCAATTTTGGTCACGTTTATATTTCTCCGTATTATTCCTCGGATCATTTTCACAAAGTTTACAGATAGTTTTTCCACTCCCTCTACTAAGTTATGTACACTTTTTCATTTGCATTATGTGCAGTGACTTTATGGGGTTCGTTGTCACTGTTCGGACTATCCTTGAAAAGCAGAACGTTGCTAACTCTCCTGCTAGACTCAAAGCTTGTCTCGATCTGAGTTTTGTTCACCGTCCGAACTTCTGTAATGTGCGTTACCTGTTCCTCGAATGGCACTTCTGATCATGTGTCACTCAACCTATCTCTATAGTTCTCTACAGTACATCCAATCATCAATTATTCACTTGGAATCGTGAACATCCTTCATGTTATCTTAATTTTTCCTATGATCTGTACTGCCCAATTGAGACTTTATATATCCGAACTAACAGATTCTCTTCGCCTCTTCTCAAACGGCTTAGTCGTGACAAAGAAAAGGTGTACAGGACTGGAAGGCGCAGTGCTGTCAAACATCTATCATTATTAATCAAAATGGACATACAGCGCCTAAATCGAATATACATCGAAACTCTTATGGGAAACCAGAACTGTCGTGATATGTGGTCTTCTTTGAAGCAACTCCGTGGATCACGCAACAGATCTTTTCCGGATGTTGAGGAGTTAAACCGTCAACCCGCAAATGCTACTGTACGGAACTCAACACCACCTTTATTTATATCTACTGGGGACAACTTGTCACCCCGGTGGAGGTCTTGAATGTACTGAAGTCTCTTAAATCTAATAAGGCACACTGTCCTGCTTCATTGTCTCCCTTCAGAGAGACTGTGCTGAACAACTTGCTTAACCTATTTCCGAGTTGTTCGTGTGGAAGCATCCCTGATTGTTGGAGAGCTTTTCAGATAATACCAATTTCCCAAATAGGATCTACTAAATACCGACCGATTGCTTGCTAATCAGCATTATTGAAAGTTTTCGAAAGGGTCCTTCTTAACAAGATGAACATTTTAACTGTTACCCATGACCCTGTTCAGTTTGCTTACAAACATTCGCTTTCCACTCTTCATGCTGTTGCTCACGTTGTCCACTCCGTTTCATCCTTATTGGATTAAGGGGCTGGCATCGTCCGTTTAATTTTCGTTGATGATGCTAATGCATTCGGATCACGTGACCGCGGGATTCTTATTCAAGGTCTCTCGGATTGTGGTTTGGCATCTCATTTATTGAATGTACTGATCGATTACTTCATTCATAGGATGCAATACCCTTTTTGTAACGGTAAATCTTTCTCCCTGCTAGTAGTTATCTTTGGAGCTTTTCACGGTGCTATTTTGTCCCCATTTCTTTTTTCACTGTACATTAAGGACCTTCCCAGCCCTCCCAACTTTATCGCGTGCACGTATGCTGATGACGTAGTAGTCAATTGTCCCTCGAATGATCCTGATTGTTTCTTTCAACTTCAAGTTCGTCTAAATAACATTTTTATTTGGTCGACACCCCGGTCTTTATTGCTCAAGGTAGATAAATGTTTAGATGTTTCTTTTAGCCTTAAAACAGGCACGCATTATCAAATCCTTTTGAGTAACCAGCCTGAACTTTCTTTTAATGATAATATCATTCCCAAAGTTAACTCTGTAAAATTTCTTTTAGTTACTTTGTCACATAATCTCTCTTGATCGAAACATGTTTAAAACATTTTGAAATTGGGCTATCATTCTACGCTTTGAGGCTTAAAATGCTTGGCATACCCCTAAATGTAACTCTTCAATTTTTGACTGCATGCATTCTTCCACATTGGTTGTACTGTTCCCCCGTACATTTTCCTGATCTGAAGGAGAAAGACCATTCTCCTTTCAAGATCACTTAAACTTCTTTTCCGTTTCAGTGGCATTTCAAAGACCGTTTTGGTTGACTTTATTGTGCGCAAGCATTTTGATTCATGCGATAGATTTATCAGCCATATACTGTCAAATGGCGGACACTGACTGCATGCATGCCCATCTCTTAATAAATCAGTGTCTCATCCGAGTACGCGTTCCAAATTGAGGATTCTTTGTGCACCCACCACCACATCTAAAAACCGCATCATCCTATATTTTGCTCGTATTTTGATCAAAGAGCTAATGCTGTTACGGACTTGAATAGTCATGGGTCACATTAGGCTTTCATCACATCCATTTGTTTTTGTTCTTCATTTAGTAAATGTATATTTGCTTTTTCCCAATGCTTAACGTTTTCCTCACAGTAACTTGTCAAAGAAAGCTGAAAATTTATCATATTGGGTGCTTAAAGTTTTGCTTGATTTGATTTGACTTCGTTGTTTGCTCATAAAATATGTGGTATTCCTGTATGTATCCCAAATTTGAGAAAAAGAACCTTGATAAGTATTTAGAGTAGGTGCCTCTCGTCTTACGGGTAGGAGTCCAAAAGACTCCAAAACCGCATGGTTGGAGACACTGAAGGTCATGGCTGCGAACCGACAGAAATGGCCATCTTACTGTTACTTTTGATCAGACCAGCATGCTTCAAATAGTGTTTACACAGTTTTACTGTGTATTGCGTGTTTTCCATTTTCACTTTCACTTTCTTTTCCCGACCCTAAAAATAGGTCCAATACCTGCCTTTGTTTCA